CAAAGAATCTGTAACTCATTCGCGGACAGTAAAGCGAACACATTAAATAATTTTTAGCAATTTTCAGGTAAAAATAATATGACAACTAATAACAATATATAATAAGATACATCTAACAGTAACTATTGTCTGACAATTCATTACATATTAGCATATCTGTAAAAAGATATCGAGTACATCCCATTATACCCCATGGTTTCATTATACCCCAGGTTCCCCTACTTTTCGTTTTATTATCGATTTTTCGGGGTACCTCATATTAAGAGCACAATTTTTTAACTTTATGATTTGCTCACTTTTTACATTTCTTTAATTTAACAAAAAAATAGAATTTGAATTAAATTTTACATAGCATTATCTTAAAACTTATTAAAAAAAAAATTCCCTTCAAAATGACCTATTATTTTTTTAAATTCTGCCCATAGATTTCTAGCATTTATCCCAAATGAAACTTGGTATCTCATATAATTGACTTGGTATCTCATATAATAGGAGCCTTTCCTCTACGTTTGCTTTCTTTAATCATGCTTAGTCATCATCTATGCTAGACTCCTTGATTTTTAGATGATTAATGACTTGTGCTAGTGTGCCCGATGAATACAAAAATTTGTAATTGAATTCCAAATTGTATTTATTCAAAATTTTCACATAAAAAAATGATCATATATTTATTCAAATTTTGGGGTTTTCAAAAATATTTATTCACAAAACAACAAAAAACTATGAATATTTAACGAGTATTCATAGTCATTCAAACAAAATATAAATTGAAAAAGAAAGCTCCATTAAGCAATCGTTTACCCCTTAACTATAACCGTCACTTTGATAACTTTAAATAAAAAAAATGAATTTTATTTATTTTTGTCATTGTATTATAATATTCAGATTTTATGAAAGAAACTTAGCAATTTTGAAAAATATTGTAAAAAACAATACATTTTTTAATTATAAATATCTATTTGATAGCGTTATACATATTCCGATATAATTCCGGTTACATCACAATAATGTTATAAACATTTTATAAGATCTTGGGCGCGTCGTTCATTATGGTTTGTGGACTTTAAATTCCGAGATATATTATTTATTCCCAATAAAAATGTCTTTGTTTAACCTAAAGTTAAACAAGGACGCCCATCGTATCGTTGCGGACTAAGAGCACAGTGTAATCGTAGCTATTGTTTTTATAGATTTCTGTTTTTTCTTGCAGGCTTGCAAGTTATGTGCTGATAATACAGAGTAAAAGTGATTACGAAACGAAAATATTCGTAATCATATTAAAAAAATATTCATTCAAATGGAATGAAAAAGTATTTATTCGTTTTTTGATGAATAAAAAGGAAGTGTATTCGAATGAGTATCTTCATTCATTTTTTATTTATTTATTTATTCAAATATTAGGTGTATTCACCGGACACACTAACTTGTGCGATAAGAAAGATTGATCAAATCACTTCATAGATCCTAATCGATATTTAACCTTCTATTTTACAAATTATTTATTGTTTATTTAAAAATATTGCCAATTAGAACAGTATATTGTGCAAATGCTCCAACACCTAAATATTTTGAAATGCATTTAGCAAATTATACACAGTAAAAAAATTTGAGTATTTGTGTTGGAAACGGTCCACTCACGTTTGTGTTAACAGTTTGTGTTGAATTTTTTAACATATTCGAGTGTTAATTTAACATAATGTGATTATGTTATTTAAAGATTTTTTGTGAAATTAATATTCAATGTTTCTTAGTGTCAAAATGACACAATTTATGTAAGTGAACATAAAAATAATGTGTTTTAAAACGTTCTAAGACAAATGAATGAAATATGTGCAGTTAATTTAACATATCATAAATGTTAATTTTCTGAAAAAAAATATGTTTACACGGTATTTGTATCGATGTTATCTTTCTTTGTATTTATTCTCTTACATAATATTTGTGTTATCTTCTAACATATTAATTTTGTGTAAAATCAAAAATTTGAGTGAACCGTTTGCGATTTATGTTAAATTCAACACATTTTTTCCAACTGTGTATAGGGCATGTATCTACTCTTGTAAAACCCAAACATGCAACTCTGTTTAAAACCTATTTAAAACAGAAAAAATCCCAAATTGCGTTTGTGTAGAATATATTCTAGTAGCAATACCAAGCTAGCTTATTCTAATCTGCATTTGAGTCTCTTGAATTAAAATAATTATTTATTATGATCCAATCTCTAATGCACAAACCAATATTAATTACATACTAACTAATAAATACCTTTCCTTGACATTACTAATGCAGATAACGAGCAAAGACCGAATATCTAATGTATGCAATATCCTGCATTTTGCAAATTTTTAATTGAGTAACTCGAGGTGTACTAGATATTAACTAAATTTTGACGTATTTGTAAATGTAATTGCGGGTGAAATATACATCAGTTTAAACATGTTTCCATTTTCCAAGTATTTTGAGATAACACGCACTCTGCTATCAAAGATAGCGATCAAGAAGTATTGTATGTAAAATATTAAGTGACAGAAGAGATGTTTTTCCACAGACATACATACCAAATGAACTCACGACAGTACGAACAAAACGTCAGTTGTTTCGGAAAGGTAGCCATAAATTGATGTCCATTTATTTCATGAACCTTTCGTAACATCACTTTCTGACGATTTAAGGGCTGTAATAAAGATAAGGAAACTCGATGAATAAATTCTCTTTCATATGGCTCTTTCTCATCTTTATTACGTTTATGTGCTTCACCACTAGACTCTCCATGGAAACTTGGTTGCGGAACTACAAAAAAAAATATTAAATCAAGTTATTGAATCATGTATACCCTGATGGAAATTTTTTCCTGAATTATGATCAATAATGATAAAATATTATTGAAATTGTAATGAAAAATGATGAAATATCATCGAAATTCACTGAATTTCATACTGAAATCTGTATCAATTGACCCACAGTATTATTTCATTAAAATTTCATTAACAATTCAGTCTGAATCATTAAGATTACAGTGAAAATCATTGAATACGAGGACTGTAATGACGCATTATTCAGCAAAATTCATAAAAATTCAGTATTTGTCATAAAAATTCAGTATTACGTATAAATGAATCATAATGAAAGTAGTCCAAATCGCAATCTTAAAATTAGAAGAAAATTAACGATTTAATACACTTTAAGAAATTTAAAAATAATTAATATTTTAATCTTGGCATTTATGTTACAGTAAGTTTGCAGATATTGAAGTAAAAATTCTTCTTAAATTTTTGCAAGTTTTTTTTGTAACATGAATACCACAAGTCAACAGCATTTAAAATTCTTTAAATTTCTTAAAGTGTATTAAATTGTTTTTTATAATTTTAAGATTGTGATTTGGACTACTTTTGTTTTAATTTAATTATACATATAAAAGAGAGTAGAAATTAATTGTACAATATTTTAACAATTTCTTAACTGTTATAAGAATTCAAAGCTTTTCGTTATAATATTTCATTATAATTCAACAAATTTTATTACAATCTTTCAACTATTAATTCCAATATTTTAATTATCCTGTTTCCGTTTTCGGTAACTTTCATTGATAAATCTATAAAAATATTGTACATTTCGTTCCCATTTCATTATTTTTCAGATATTTTCACTAATTTTCCTCAAAAGTATTTTAGCATATTTAGTGTATAATAAATTGTAGAAGTTATATACATATGTCTTGCATTATTTTTTATTCTCTTTCTTGCATTTTCAATAATTTTCAGATATTTTCATTAATTATCTCCAAAATTCATAGTACTGCAGCATATTTAAGTGTATAATATACTGTAAAAATGTTACATGTCTTATATTATTTTTCATTCTTTTTCAATAAATATCTTCAAGATTTATAATATTTCAGTGTAATTCAATGTTCGGTTTCTTTGAATATAGACCTATAAATTTTCTTCACAATTCTTTTGAATTCAGTGCTTTTAGTTACCTGAATGTTAACTGCAGATTTTATTTTATTTCAGCAAATTTCATTACCATCTTTAAACTATTAATTCTAACATTTTAATTATCCTATTTCCGTTTTCGGTAACTTTCATTGATAAATTTATAAAAATATTATATATTTCGTTCTCATTTCATTAATTTTCAGATATTATCATTAATTTTCCTCAAAATTCATAATATATCAGTATATTTCAGTGTATAATAAATTGTAAAAATATTACATGTCCTGCATTATATTTATTTTTTTTCATGCATTTTCTATAATTATCTTTAGGATTCATGATATTTTAGTATAATTCAATGTTCAATATCTCTGTATAAATTAGTATGAATATTAAATATTTTTCATTAGTCTTCGTTATTTTTCATTAATCTTCATTAATTTTCATTAATTATTGTTAAAATTCATAGTATTGCAATATTAAAAGTATTATTCATGCTGAAAGAATTTCAACAATATTTTTGTCATTTTCATTTCTCATTTCAACAATTTCATTGTCGAATCCAACAATTTCAGCGATTTTTTTCCATCAGGGTACTTTTAAAATAATGAGATTTTTTTTTACTTGATATAGTCGACATTGCCATTGTTAATCGCAGCCTTCCCTGAAATTTCAAGTCAATCTGCAACAATTTTCATTGTTAAATAGATTAGTCCTAAAAATGCACACTACATCTTCATACATAGTTGAAAAAAATGTGTTGAATTTAACACAAATCGCATGTCTCAAACGGTCCACTCGAATTTTTGAATAATTTTACACAAGATGAATATGTTAGAAGATAACACAAATATTATGTAAGAGAATAAATACAAAGAAAGATAACATCGACACAGTTTGTAAACAAACCGTGAGAACATTTTTTTTTCAGAAAATTAACATTTATGATATGTTAAATTAATACGTATTTTATTCTGGAAATTTTGCGTTCAATTAACAACGAATTATGAACATTTGGACTATCGAAAAAAAATAATAAAAAACGAATTTCTTTGAATATTATTCGAAACTCTTTGGACTAACATCAATATAAAGAAAAAGGAAAAATGTAAACAATTTTATTTAACGAGCGTTCTTGCGTAATAATTAGACATGTTAAAAGATGAATGAACTTAGATTAGTCGTACGTTTGTGTGAAAAAAATTTTTATGAAATTCGTATATAGTGAAGATGGCCTAATTTAAGATCGAAACGTCTATGTAATATTTTTGTAATTCGATTATATAATTTGAAATCAAATATAAACTATCGCTAAGAATATCTTGCGTTCGTGATGTATGCCCTTTATCTTTCCGTTTTCGTATTTTATTCATTTGTCTTTCAATTTATCTTTCAAAACACATTATTTTTATGTTATTTGTTCACTTACTCATAAATTGTGTCATTTTAACACTAAGAAACATTGAATATCAATTTCATAAAAAATCTTTAAATAACATAATCACATTATGTTAAATTAACACTCGAATATGTTAAAAAATTCAACACAAACTGTTAACACAAACGTGAGTGGATCATTTCCAATCTAGTTAACAAATACACAAATTTTTTTTACTGTGTAGCACAGTCTATACATTGGTTCTCTCAAATTCATTTGAATATTGTACATAATTCTAACATAAATGCAAATTTTTCATCATATTTTTTTCAGAAAAAGAGCAGATATTATAGAATATGGTTATAAAAAATCCAAATTCAAGTCTACATAATAAATTTAAAATAGTAAATAATACTTGTTTACAATAAAAAATTGCATTGAATTAAACAAAGTGTTTCCTATAGATTTTTGAATGTTGTGGAGACATGTACAAAAAATGGCTTTTTACAGCATTTAATTTTTTTTTTTGTAAAAAAGATTATAGTTATTTTGAAATTCTGATCTAAAGTCAAGATTGTTCATTCTCTATATATTTTTTTTATGTCAATACCTTATTTTTTAACCATGTTATGTAGGATTTAAATACAGAGTTTTTCTAAGATAGCAAATTTTTCCCATATGATGAAGTCATATACTTATAATCTCAAATTTTTTTACTGAAGAGCGAGAATATCAGATTTTAAAGTGTAAATGCCTCCAACACACACACACACACGCACGCACGCACGCACGCACGCACGCACGCACGCACGCACGCACGTACGCATACAATCATATATGGAAGTACGTGAGTACAAACGATCAAAAATGGACTGTGAGTCTATAATACAAAGATTTTTATTATCAGGTCAATATCATCGGGAAAGATAATAAATATCTGCTAGAAATATGAACGCTGATGTAAGAAATGTTCCTGACCAAAATAATATACTGCAGAGTAGAAGTAAATGTTTTAATTGCGATAGCCATTGTATAGTTCTCCTCGCAGGAAAACTTATCGACTTCAACTTTACCAAAGTTGTCGTTCAGAATAGTTTTTAGAGGATTTAACTTAATGCCGAAGGTGTTTATAAGCGACAAATCTTTAATCTCCAATAAAAGAATAGTATTCTCATCAAAATATAGTACCTTACGCGCATTCGTGCGTAAAAACTTTCGTATAGGAATTTCAAATATCAACGTTACTCAACCACAGGTTTATCAAGGCATTGATTTTATATCGCTCAACGTAAAATCCGCCAACTTTTGCCACTGTGTTGTTATGGTGACACCGTTCGAAAAGATCCCTCCTGTTTTCTCGAAAGGGCGTGCCGTTCGGTAAAATCAGAAACTGGGAGTATATCTATTTTAGCGACCCTTATCGGCACCCCCCTCTGTTTAAAATTACTGCTTTGGCTTCGTCGCTAGTAGAAGCGAAATTTTAACGACTTCCGTCACTCGAGTGTGGCATAATAACATCGAAGGCTTCGTATATACATCTCGGGTATAGATACACATACATTAATACATACCTACATGCACGACAGGTATTCACGAGCACAAAATTGGCTGAATAGAGGATACCTCGTATGAGAGAATGTTTACTAAACGGTTTTATGGTCAATGGAGATACCATGTATCCAAGAACATGAGTACTTCCTTCTACCTGGAAGAAATGACTGTAACGTTTTCTCCGAACTTTTGATTTGACAAATAATGGGACAACAGATGCAGTGACAAATGTAATGTAAAGACACTTGCATTATGTTCTACGAAAGAATTTCGGGTGAGAAACTACTCATAGAACTGTTCAATCTCATTGCCCTTATCTCGCGTTTCATCTGCAGCGAAAGCATTACTCGCTCTGCATTGCGAATGAGGTCAGTAGTAAAACTATTCGACGCAAAAATACGCATCACGCAAGACGAATAGTGCGCAGAATGAAATTAGGCTTTCACGTTAATGAAATATCGGTGTTTAGCAAACGATAGCACTTAGCGAGGCGGGATGTGCATAATTAGTAGAGAATTTATGGTTTTACAGTGGAAAATGATTAGATGAGATTGGCAGAAACTCTCGTTTAGAAATATAAGGATTTTCTGAGGTCTTAGGGTTGGTTTATAATAGGTCGTAATCTGTTAACTTTTTCCGTAATCTGTAAGAATTGATCGATCGTAGTCGATTATTCTTCTTTCATTCAACTGTGATTTGTCAATTCTTATGGATTATGGAAAAAGTTAATAGATTGCGGCCTATTATAAGCCAACCCTTATTCTGTTAGCCGATAAAGAAAAGAAAATTAAAAATTTTTCGCAGATTAAGAGATGTTCATGAAATATCTGCTCTACGTTTCAGGAAAAGCGTCGATATTCCTTATCACATTCTGGAATCACGAACGATACTACAGGTTGATTTATAAGTAAATTCCATTTCCCTTTATTAAATTTTTAGTGACAATATAGTATAGTGGATGATATACGTTTCGCATCTATTCCTCCAGTTTTCTTGTTGTGGAACATGGATTTTGTTTCATTAATAATTTTAAGATATCGTTGTTGAAGTCAATATGACGATTTGTCCCTATATATGTAATTCATTCTTCAAAGTTGTCTATATCTCTGAAACAAACCACTTTCGCAATATGTTACGATACTCATATCAGTTAAAGTTATGTCACTCAGCATTATTAAGATCGTTCGAAGATGCGAAAAATCATTAAATTGTTAAATTACTAGTCAATTTAACTCGTGATATTACTGCGGTAGTTTAAGAGTTAGCGTTTCAAGACTGAAAAATCATTTCCGCGCGCGTTTTAATCTTGAACAGCATTCAAGAGGTTATAGCCGTCTGTCGGACAATTTGCGTAATGCTAATGTCAACTGTACTGTAACTTTCGAGCCTTATAACTCCAAAAGTATTTCATGAAAAAATATTTTGTTATAGTGTTTTGGAAAACTCTCGAGATGTGCTATGAGAATATGCAATGAAAAATAAGGTGTTCCATTTTAAAAAATTGATCTGATCTTGATCTGACTTTGAAGACGCAAGGTCAAACGGATATGATCAGTAAATAAATCTTTTGGAACCCTACAACTTTTGTCTGAATACTACACTTTTCTGTAATACTTATATTTTCTATGATATTCAGGTGTCCCGGTACTTTTTCCCCACCCTGTATAAATTTACACAGAATCATACAAGCATTTAAGATCCAGCTAGATCGTTTAAGGCATTGATTTAATTTTTTTTATTTTGTAAGGGAAAAGTCCATACTTTACGATGGTATCATGACATTTACAAAAAAAAATTTACTCCATCCGGTAGAGTGCGACAAACTAAATTTCTTAAAAAAAAAAACGTGTTCTTATTTTTGAAAAGATACCAGATAGAGGTAAGGATGATTCAAAATGCACTGAAAGCTTTGTAAAGTACTTTATCTTTGAAAATGAAAAAAAAACTTTTAAATGCGACCATTTTTCGCGGAGTTGCGGTTATTTGAATTTATGCAAAATTTGGATATAAATTTACTTATGCAATAGATTTTGTTAACGAGTATATTGGATGTTTGATTTTACATTACGATACGTAATTAACTTCCAAACAATAAAACTTATTATAAATTTGGCAAAACTTAAATTATCATATATACACATTACGTCTTCTTTATAAACAATAAAAAAGCTGATCATGCCTAACATAAATTAAAATATTGTGTAATGTAAATTGAAGTAAACTATTAAATAAATCGGCGAATAAACAAACAGAGAAAATTCGAATTGTTTTTTTATCATGATCCAAAAATTATTCCACAAATATTTTATATTCAATTTAACATTGTTTTTATGTCAATGTGCAACTTGGTTGTTTATTTTAATTAGCGTATTGAGACGATTGTTGTGAATTTATTTAAAATTTATATATATATATATCGTAGAAAATATCAGTAAAAAATCTTAATTTTGTATGTTGGAAAATAAAAATTAGTATTCTTATTGTATACACAACATGTAATATTTTTTGAATATATTAACATGTCGACATAACAACTGCCAACAAAGTGTTGGATTGTAGATCCCAGCGAAAACCTGATGCGTCCTCGCAAGCGACATTTCATTAAAGATATTAGTTCAAACCTTCACTTCATCTCCATCAGGTGCTTTCGTAGGAGAGAAAAAAACAGTTCTGCAGGGATGTGTGAGAGAAAAAGTAAGAGTGAGTGAGTGAGTGAGTGAGTGAGTGAGTGAGTGAGTAAGTGAG